CAGCAGCAAAGTGCCTCCCTGGGTGGTGCATTCTGCGTGCTCTGGTCTATTTGCTCTCTCTCCCTCACACGCACACTCACACACGCACACTCACACACACACACACACACACACACACATACACACACACACACACTCTCTCTCTCTCTCTCTCTCTCTCTCACGCACACACACACACTCGCTGCCCTTCACCCTGCTCTCCTCTTCCCCCACCTTGAAATGCAGCGACCGCAAGCATTCACACTGTCATGCTCACACTGTCATGCTCACACTGTCATGCCCACACTGTGATGCTCACACTGTCATGCTCACACTGTCATCCTCACACTGTCATGCTCACACTGTCATGCTCACACTGTCATGCCCACACTGTGATGCTCACACTGTCATGCTCACACTGTCATGCTCACACTGTCATGCTCACACTGTCATCCTCACACTGTCATGCTCACACTGTCATGCTCACACTGTCATGCTCACACTGTCATGCTCACACTGTCATGCTCACACTGTCATGCCCACACTGTGATGCTCACACTGTCATGCTCACACTGTCATGCTCACACTGTCATGCTCACACTGTCATGCTCACACTGTCATGCTCACACTGTCATGCTCACACTGTCATGCTCACACTGTCATGCTCACACTGTCATGCCCACACAGTCTTGACTCACCTCAACAGCAGCATGTCTTGCTGTGTCAGCGCCTTATGAATCTCATCTTTGATTCCAACAGCCCTCCAAACGAACTTGTTGGAAGCAACGCCACCCTTTTTTCCATTCTAATGTGCATGCCTTCTCTGCACTCCCATCCCATGTGCGATGCTCCATACTCATGGTATGGGCATGTGCAGGGCTACAGTGTGCTGTATGGCATCAGCATCGTTCTCATCATATCTCCCACTCTTTTTCACTTCTTAACTGCACTTTTTCTCTGAATCTCTGCACTTCCATGTGCCGTCTTATGTGTAGCATCCACCATGCTCCATCCACCACATGGCATGGGGCATGTGCAGGGCTACAGTCTGCTGTACGGCATCAGCATCATTCCCATTATCATCCACACTCTTCTTATACACACGCCTTCTCTCCCCTGCCATGCGTCATGTACCATCCACCATGTACCATCCACCATGTACCATCCACTATGTACCATCGACCATGTGCCATCCACTACATGGCTTGAGGTCTGTGCAGGGCTACAGCGTTTTGTACGGCATCAGCATCATTCCCATCATCATCGGTGTTATCGTCGTTGTCATCCTCTTCCTCAACTCGCTGCAATAGATATGCCTTCCTTCCCCTCCCAATCCCTAGTCTAGACCAGTGCTAGTAACGAAAGCAAGGGGCGGAAATTAGGTTGTGGAAAGCAGGTTGGACAGGGTACATTCTTAGGTCAGCATTTGTTCATGATCTTAGAATTCAGCAATCGTAACGTTTTTTTATATAATTGACTGAGGAGGCATTATTCATTTTATTTCACATTTCAACACATGCACTTAATATTCAAGCCATTACAGATCGTATGCTTTTCATCCACAGAATCGCGAAGATATTAATGTCGGTCCTGATCACCTCTCTGTACCGTACTGCAACGCATTTTCCGTTTAGAACTCTAACGACCGTCCATATCCTTGTCGAGAAACCCACTAAGGGCGTGTAAGTCCCCGCATATTTGCGAAATCTGCTTTTGGCCGGTTTTACGTCGACCTAGTTGACATTTCTTTCGCGAAAGTCGACGGATTGGTCGACTTGGTGTCGTCACATTTACAGCCACTATTTGCAGATTTGCAAACTTTACAGGTTTGAGGGCCGAATATCAGGCCGTTTCAAAAAGTTGTAAAATTTGCAGTTGCTACAGTATGAACGTATGTGCGACGGGGTCATACATTTGACGGCGAAAACTCTGATTGGACAGGATAAAAACATTCAATCGTTCTGCGAGACCGTACGACGTCATACGTGACAGTCGCTCACGGTGTCGACTACTTGGTCGAATTGGAGTCGACATGGTGTCGGATACGAGTCGACATGGTGTCGGATACGAGTCGACATGGTGTCGGATACGAGTCGACTTTAAAAACTGCCATCAATTTCGTTTTTTTATTGGCGAAATCAACGACGGTCACGAGCGTCTTCGATTGTTTCTCAAACGGGTTACTTTCGCAAAGTCGGCCATTTGTCTAGTGGCCGAATTTTTAGGTGCGGCGATTTTACACGCCCTAAGTCCGATGCGAGCTGCTGCTAGTGCAGCATCTTAGAACTGCTTGCGCCACTTTCCCAAGCCTGCCTCGCAACGCAACTGTCCTCCGTCCGATGCCACCATGTCCGTGTGTCTCATCGGATGAAGTTCCGTCGCTCCCGTTTTGTCCTCCGATGCCAGCATGTCCATATCGATGATCTCTGACGCTGTTTCTTGCTCCTCTTAGGTGCGCGTCGAAACGAAACCACCTAGGATGCACTTGTAGAATAGTCCAGCGCTGCGCCGCCTTAGTTCCTCAACTGACAGCTGGCGGTTCAGCGTGTTTGCTTCCCGCCCCGCCATTTTATACGGAGTTTTCTGCGATTCGCGGATGAACTGGAGTTAGGTGCAAAAATGAGACCCTGCGCCGCCTTAGACTCCCACCCCAAGCGGGGAGTTGGATAGGGTGTACAGTACAGTACGTCACTCACGCTCTTATCCGCGAGAAATGTCAACGGCACGACGCACAACACGCCGCCGCGTCGTCGGATCGGAACATGCACCTTTCTCGCTACGGGTTTCTTGTCTGCAGAGCGGAGTCGATTTTGCCACTCGTTTCCTCCCGTAGTCTTATCTCATCACGTGTGCTTTCATCCACAGCCATGGCTTTGTCGACATCGGCGAGTCATATCACTCCATATGTTGTGGTGAAGCGTTCTGATTGGTTGATCCACGCCACTGAACACGTGATGCTCCCATATTGCTGCAAAACTCAAGCGCGCGGCACCGTACGTACGGAGCAACGCAACATCTCGCACTCACCCCCTTCCGCGGCGACTCGCCGCTGGGCTCGTGCGACTCCTCTCAGCGCCATACTCTCTGCCTCTCGCCCTTTCCTCGCCCCTCCTCGCTCCCCAGCCTACCCGTTTGGCTGGCTCTTCTCTCAGCGAATAAGAATGGCTCGCCGCAGTTAGATCAAGCAAAGCAGGAGGAATATATGCGCTACCACTCGCGGGTTTCCTGTTAGGCACTGTCGCTCTCGCCTCCCGCGTCCTCAGCTATATTCAGGGCCTCGGTAGTCTCGCGGTACTTACGGCGTGCTCTCCGCTCCGGCCTCTCCGGCGGACGTGCCGTGAGTCACGCCAAGTCTCCGTGAAATCTGCGTGCGAGATTTCTCCCTCCGTGATCCGATCACCTCCTCGCGGACCCTAGTCCCTAGTCCGGCTGCGTCCCCTTCTTGCTGTTGCTGCTGCTCCTCGAGGGTAAGCAACGTGCAGCTTATAGCGGGGATAACTTTGAACCTTGCATCCAAACCACCAGGAGTCGCTGCATACCTCAGCGCAGCTAGCGCTGACGTTGTCTTAGCTGCGTTTCCTAGGCGCTGTTAGCAATATTTCCACGTGCTTGTGCTGTACTCTGTAACGTACTTTAACGCGCTGTTGTGGCGCTGCGACTGCAGCGGTCCTGCGATGATGCCGCGTGCTGAGATCCTATTACCCGGCTGATCATGTGCAGGAGGATGCTGGTTGGACCTTCCTGGCACAACCAGCCCTGCGCCTACAATTGCGGTGAGTGTGCTGTGCAAGAACCCTCCCCGTTCTTTTCTCCTTTGCTCTTCCTGTTTACCCCTTCCCGTTCGCTTCCTTTCTTTTTACGGCTCGGTCTTTTTTTTGCCACGTTAAATATTACAATTCCTAGATTTATCATCGATGTGTAGTGTATAAGCCACATAGTGTGACAAGACGGGCTGGTATGAACAAATGTTATGTTGCAGGGCTACACATGACATGACTACTCAATGTGACGCATGAATGACTTCCCAGTGTCACGCATGATGATTAATTGCCGCCATGTTCTCTCTTTGTGCCTGTCGTTCCTTCCGCCCCTACTCCGTGCAGCATGCCGCAACAATAATGGCTCGCCTTTTTTTAAGCGCCTCAACAATAATGTCTCATTTCCTCTAGCGTTTTCCTTCCTTCATGTCCCTGCTCCATGCAGCATGCCGCAACACTAGTGATTGGCGGCAAGAGGGGCTGGTCTGGCGTCAAGTCTTGGAAGGCACCGAACACAATGCTGGATGATGTAGTAAGTACGTGTTCGTGTTGCCTTCCATGCAAGGCGATATTTGAGCCACCTCAAAAGTCAACTCTGCACCAAACGTTATGTTAGATTATGTAGTAGGTACGTGTTGTCTTCCCTCGCCTCGTCCTCTCCTCTCTGCCCAACCGATGGGGGGGAGGGGAGGGGGGGGGGCTTGGGGGTACGTGTTGACTTCCATGCATAACCTGTTGCAATCTTGCATTTCACTTCCAACATCACACTGACGAACTATCCCCTGCTTGCCTTGATCACCTGCAACTGGTTGCGACCTTCACCGAACACTCTTTGCCACGTGCAACAGAGCAATGACACTCTCTTTCCCAACTTTGTTCTTGGCGCATGTCTCCGTCCTGCATCTCTCCGTCTTCCATATCATTTTCATCTCTTGACCCCGTCTACCTTCAGTCTTTCAATGGGGTGGTCGCTCGCTTCTTGGGCTGTACCTTCGGGCCCAAGCACAGCCTGGCCGAGGTATCAAGCACTGCCTTGAGTTAACCTACAGCACTCAAAACACATCTCTCTCTCATGTCCGTCTCTTGACCCCGCTTACCTTCAGTCTTTCAGTGGGGCGGCCGCTTCTTGGGGTACACCTTTGGGCCCTACCCAAGCACAGCGTGGCGGAGGTATCAAGCACTGCTGCTTTTGACACCATCTCACCCATCCCGTCTCTCCTCTCTCGTACCCGTCTCTTGACCCCGTCGTCTACCCACAGTCTTTCAGTGGGGCGGCCGCTTCTTGGGGTCCACCTTTGGCCCCAAGCAAGCACAGCCTGGCGGAGGCATCAAGCACTGCCTTGAGTTAACCTACAGCACTCAAAGCACATCTCTCTCACATGTCCGTCTCTTCACCCGTCTACCCACAGACTTTCAGTGGGGCGGCCGCTTCTTAGGCTCCTCATTTGGCCCCAAGCACAACCTGGCAGAGGTATCAAGCACTGCTGCTTTTGACGCCTGCGATACCAAGGCAGTTTCCAAGGTGCACGTGAAGCCCTCGCGCAAGGCTAGAAAAACTTTCTCTGTTGGAGCACGACGGCTGTTTGTTAGCAGTCGGGAAGGACTGTGTGACGCATGGCATCAAGCTATCGGTGGGGTTTAGATGAAGATGTATATTTCCAATATCATTTGCTTAAATTGTTCCATAGCTTAAAGTTAAAAACTTTCAGACCTGCTTTGTCACCCTAGCCCATGAATGAGTGTCCCCAAGGAAGTTTGTTTTGAAGTGCAGAAGTGTATACAGTAGCATACTGTAAAAAGCAATTTGCCATCGAAGTTTTTCATTTATACAGGTAAACAAAGCAACATGCCAATCCACAACCTACTTACAGTGCAATCATATCCATTGTTAAGCTCCCTAAACTTGTCAGTACTGCGGCGGTATCTCTTAACAATCAACATGCCGCATGTGTCTCCGCGCTTCACACTGTAAGTGCGCTTGGTCGAACATGTAGTGCCAGAGAGTGGCCGGGCGTCAACAGCAGCCACACAAACCTGTGGATCCAGCCAATCATCAGTTTGAACAGGATGGAAGGGGAAGCAAAATGTGCGCGTAATATACATACACCCAGACAGACACACAGACAAACACAGACGGACACACAGACAGAAGAACGGACGGACAGGCACCCGCACGGACACTCGCACGCACAAGCACCCACATATTCATGCATGGGGCCCATGCATGCGAGAGGTGTTATGTGCATGTGTGTGCAATGTGCACATGCATTGACCACTGTACTCGCCTCACTCACAACATTGCCCTGCAGGGGACTGCACGGCATCAGGGCAGCACACGGAAACCCGGGTTTTAACTAAAAGAAGCACGTGGGAGAGGCGACGCCAAAGACCTAATCCCCCCTTCCTCCCCTTCACTCCCCCCCCCCCCCCCCCCCCTCCCCCCCCCCCCCCCGTCCCCTTCCCTTATCCACTACCCATCCCCCCAACCGACCTCCCACCCCACACACAGGCCGTGCAACCCGGCTAACCCTACTAATCACATTGCCCTGCGTGGGTCTGTACGGCAGAAAGGAGTCGCACGAAAGGCCGGGATTCATTTGAAAGCAGCACGTGGGGGAAGCGATGCCAAACGCCCAGTCCCCCCTCCCTCCCCTTCCCCTCACCCATCCCCCGTCCCCTCCCCTTCTCCACTACCCGTCCCCCCACCCCCCACACACAAGCCGTCCAACTCACCCTACTAATCATATTCCCCTGCAGGGGGCTGAACGGCTGCAGCGAGTCGCACGACAGCCCGGGATTCATCTGGAAGAAGCGCGTGGGGGAGGCGACGCCAAACGCCCGCCACAGCTGCTGGCAGGACTGCGGGCCCTGCAGCACCTTCACGAGCACGCCCTGGTTCATGTACTCGGCTAGGGGAGGGGGTGTGGCTGGGGTTGTGGTGATGGCTGGGGTGATTTGTACAGAGACTTGGCATGCCACGCGGCTCTTTTCCAGGTCTAGCCACGTCCGGTTGAAGTCGACACAGAGGAGCTGGGAAGGAAGGGAGGGAGGGAGGGAGAGAGGGAGGGAGGGAGGGAGGGAGGGAGGGAGGGAGGGAGGGAGGGAGGGAGGGAGGGAGGGAGGGAGGGAGGGAGGGAGGGAGGGAGGGAGGGAGGGAGGGAGGTAGGGAGGGAGGGAGGGAGGAGGGGAGATGGGGGAGGAGGGTCGAGAGGCATGTGTGATTTGGGCAGAGAATTGGCAGGCTACACATGTTTTTTCCAACTCTAGCCATGTCCAGTTGGAATCCACACAGAGAAGCTGTGACGGAGGGAGGGATGAGGGAGGGAGGAGGGAGGGAGGAGAACGGGGGAGATGGGGGAGAAGAGCGGAGAAAAGTGTGTGATTACACGCTCATTTTTGTGGACACCTCCTGCTAGGGGCCTGTTTATGGTGAAGATAGTTATTGAGTAAAAGGCCTTGAGTCTACTCTTGACCATACACTTCGCAATAATTTGTCCCCATTCTTGGATTTTTACTTGATAATTTGTTTTATGTAATATTTTGGATTTACGACCTAACTACATTGTGTGCTGCAACCTGCACTCAAATGCATCTGCACTCATCTGCACTCGTCTGCACTCATCTGCACTCATCTGCACTCATCATTTGCACCCACCTGGCCGGGTCTGGGCCCATCAGAGCAGCTGAGGGCGGGGTTGAGCGGTTGAATGCGCGTGGAGAAGAGGGCGTTGATGGAGTCACACGAGTCACCCTGCACACATAGGAGGAGGGAGTGGGAAGCACAAGCGAGCGAGGCTATCGAAGCGAGCGAGCGAGCGTGGGAGGCAAAAGCGAGCGAGGCTATTGGGAAAATCGAGTTGAGCGGCTGAATGCGCGTGGAGAAGAGGGCGTTGATGGCGTCACACGAGCCACCCTGTCAGGTCAGGTTAGAAGGGAGTGGGAAGAGAATGCGCGGTTATTGGGAGAATTGAGTTGAGCGGCTGTATGGAGGAAAAATGTGTGGTTATTGGGAGAATGTGTGGTTATTGGGAGAATGTGTGGCTATTGGGAGAATGTGTGGCTATTGGGAGAATGTGTGGCTATTGGGAGAATGTGTGGCTATTGGGAGAATGTGTGGTTATTGGGAGAATGTGTGGTTATTGGGAGAATGTGTGGCTATTGGATTGGAAGAATCAAGCTGAGCGGATGGAGGGAGTGCGCAGATGGAGGGAGTGGGCAGATGGAAGGAGTGGGGAAATGGAAACACAGGTGGCGGGCGATTCAAAGTGAGCAGTGAAGAGGGTGCTAGTTTGGATGTTAAACTCACTGGCACTTACATAAACGCACAGGCACTTGCATATAAGCATTGGTGCTTACATAAATGCAACGGCACTCACATAATTAGCAGTGTACATGGAAGTGCATTGGGAGTAAGCCCGGCTGGTGACGTTGATTAGAGTGTCTGTAGGGATGGGCGCTCGGCACTGGACGCCCTGCAGTCCGAACAAGGAGAGATGGAGGAGAGAACAAGGAGAGATGGAGGAGAGAACAAGGAGAGATGGAGGAGGGAACAAGGAGAGATGGAGGAGAGAACAAGGAGAGATGGAGGAGAGAACAAGGAGAGATGGAGGAGAGAACAAGGAGAGATGGAGGAGAGAACAAGGAGAGATGGAGGAGAGAACAAGGAGAGATGGAGGAGAGAACAAGGAGAGATGGAGGAGAGAACAAGGAGAGATGGAGGAGAGAACAAGGAGAGATGGAGGACAGAACAAGGAGAGATGGAGGAGAGAACAAGGAGAGATGGAGGAGAGAACAAGGAGACAGGGATGAGATGCGATGCCATGCGACGTGACGCGACGCGACGCGATGCGATGTGACATGAACGTGCTGATCCCCAACCGACCACAGCCTAGCCTATATTGAAGCCAATTTTGAGATTTCTCAAAAGGGATTTGATGTGACATGAGATATGTTGACCCCAGACCCAACCAGAGCCAGCCAGCCTTAACCTTTCTTCACGTTTACAGCCCATATTGTGAAGGTTTTAGTGAAGAAAGGTGAAGGCTGAAGAAACCTTTCAGTCCTTGTTCTGTCTGAAGAAGCCTTTCAGACCTTATTTTGGCGGAAGAAGGCCGCTTGGGTGAGTCCGTAAGTGTTGAGGATGAGAGGGCATGTGAGGCCGTAGGGAGACAGGAAGGTGGGCATTCGCAGCTCAAACAATCTCACTGCATGCATGCACGGGGTATGCATGGGGGGCAGGCAGGCAGGCAGGCATGCAGGCATGCACGGGGCAAAGTGAGAGTGGTGGTGTGTGTGAGGGGTAGGTGAGGGGGCAGAGGCATAAGGTGAAAATCAAAGGCAGGTGAAAATCAAAGGCAGGTGAAAATCAAAGGCAGGTGAATCAAAAGCACGCACGCGGAAATCAAGGGCTGTGGGCAAGTTGAGCAAAGCAAGTGGTGCTTCAGACTCAGCCACGGCTTGTGCCGGACAGCACTTCCCCTTGGGGCTTGTGCCGGACTGCAAGGGGGGGCAGTGAAAATGCCTCACTGCCCTGCACCCCCCAAGGGAGGCAGGCGGAATGCAAAGGCTGTGAGCAAGTTCAGCAAAGCAAGTGCTGCTTAAGACTCAGGCTCTCAGCCACGGCTTATGCAAGACAACATTTTCCACGTGGGGCGCAGGGGTAGGTAGTAAGCAAGCAAGCAAGAGTGAGTGTTGCCCACAGAGGTAACAGCGGGCAGTGGCTCTGGGGAAGGAGTCTCAGGCGAGGAAGGAGTCTCAGGCGAGGAAGGGTGAGGGGCAGAGAGGGTGGAGTAGGAATACCCACACACTTCCCCTTTGAGGGCAGGGGCAGGTAGCAAGTGTTACGCACACTGGTTACAGCGGGCAGTGCCTTTCGAATAGAAGTAGAATGCGAAGAAGGGCGAGGGGCAGAGGCAGGAGTAGGTGCCGTCTATGTCATCAATGCACACCCCCGGGGCACACGGGTTGCGAATGAAATGGCGACACCTGAAGGAATCTGGTGAGGGGGCGGTGGGGGAAGGGGACGGTGTGGGAAGGGGACGGTGGGAGAATGGACAGGGGGGCGGGGGATGGGGGAAAAGGGGAAACGGGAAAGGGGGATGGAGAATGAGAGGCGGAGAAAGGGGAAATGAGGAAGGGGAAGAAGGGGGGAGGCAAAAGGCGGTGGGAGGGAAAGGAGGGAAACGGAGAAACTAAGGGTGTTACATGAGTGGGTGGTCATGGCGCATTAGAAAAAAGAGTTGTTTGATTAAGGAATTTTCAGAACTAGAGGGTACGAAGTTTTGCATCTTCTCAAGAGTGTGTAGTGAATCGAGAACGAGTGCATGCATACAATACTATGCCATCCGCAAACATACTGAAGCTCTTGCCGCAAACATGCTCACCTCTTGGCCACTACACGCATGCATGCATGAATCGAGAACGAGTGCATAAATACAATACTATGTCATCCGCAGACAAACCAAAAGGGCACCTACAGCTCTCCACCTCTCACCCACCGCACTCCACCTGTCACATACTGCACCTTACCTCTTGGCTACTGCACTCCACCACTGCCTATCGCACTCCACCAGTTGCGGACCACACTCAATGACTCACCGGGGAAGCAGGAGGGCAGGCCGGAGAGGTGCGAGGGCTCGAAGGAGGGGAGATTGAAGGGGCACTTGCAGGAGGGCATGAGAATAGACGAGTCCCACGGTGCAGGTGCCTTGCTGCACACGCCCGTTCCACAGGGCAGCACTGGAGAACCCTGGCAGGGGTCTGTGTCTGTTGGGGGGGGGATGAAGGGAATGAGTGAGACAGTTGGAGGGTGAGGGGAGAGATTGTATGAGACACGAGGTTAGAGGGGTCTCACCCCATGGGGCAGGCGCCTTGCTGCACACGCCTGTTCCACAGGGCAGCACTGGAGAACCCGTGCAGGCATCAGTGTTTGTAAAAAGGAGAAGGGGATGAAGGGAATGAGTGAGTCAGTTGGAGAGTGGGGGGAGAGAGGGGATGAGGCAGATGGGGGGAGTGAGGAGAGAGGGGGGATGAGAGACGAGGATGGAGGGGTCCCATGGGGCAGGTGCCTTGCTGCACACGCCCGTTCCACAGGGCAGCACTGGAGAACCCGTGCAAGGGTCGGTGTCTGTTGAGGGGGGGATGAAGGGAATGAGAGAGACAGTTGGAGAGTGAGGAGAGAGGGGGTATGAGACACGAGGTTAGAGGGGTCTCACCCCATGGGGCAAGTGCCTTGCTGCACACGTCCGTTCCACAGGGCAGCACCAGAGAGCCCGTGCAAGGATCGGTGCCTGTTGGGGGGGGGGGAGGAGGGAGGATGGGAATGAGTGAGACAGTTAGACAGTGGGGAGAGAGAGGGTATGAGAGACGAGAATAGCGAGGGGATGCAGGAGAAGAGGGCGGTGGGGGAAAGCAGGCGGCCAGGGAATACAAGGGGGTGGGGGGGTTCGTGGGGTTACAGGAACGAGAATCCTTTCTGCCTTTCTCCCTACCTGTAAACCAGACGGTTTATGAGGAGAGGCCAACAGGGGCAGCCTGGCAGGGCACGTGCCTTGCTACACTTTCTCTCTCTCCCTCCCCCCCATATCCCTTTCCCCCTTACCTGTGAATCTGAAGGTCCAGGAGAAGAGGGTGACGGGGGAAGGCAGGCGGCCGGAGGGAGGAGGGAGGGCAGCACTGGTGAACCCCGCAAACAGCTGCCCGAAGGATGGAGATGCTGGGTCCGTCACACCGCTGCTGCTGTCACTGCTGCTGCTGCTGCTGCTGTCACTGCTGCTGCTGCTGCTGCTGTCACTGCTGCTGCTGCTGCTGCTGCTGTCACTGCTGCTGCTGCTGCTGCTGTCACTGCTGCTGCTGCTGCTGCTGTCACTGCTGCTGCTGCTGCTGCTGCTGTCACTGCTGCTGCTGCTGCTGCTGCTGTCACTGCTGCTGCTGCTGCTGCTGCTGCCGCCGCCGCTGCCACTACCACTGCTGCTTCCACTGGAGTCAGAGGCGGCACTGAGAGCACCACACAGGTCTATAGAGACCCTCATGATGCCTCGCAGAAAAGGGGGGCGGTACCATCTCAGCGCCATCTCCTTGCTGCTCCCGTTATAGTCAACCCTCATCTGCCACACCTCCTCGGGCTCCATCACATAAGGCGATTCCTTTGCGAAAACCGATGTCATGTTGAAATCAGTGGTCACGCCGACCTTTACACCATTTCTATTGCCTTCTGGGTTTGTTACAGTGCGCCACTCCACAGCTACACTCCGCGCGCCGTCCGGCCAGCTGCCATTAGCGAGTCGCGAGGACGGGTCCCGGCCGTACCCCATATAAGCCCCGCCTAGGCCCACGCCTGCATGTGTGCTTATAACGAATGCGAGACCTTGAGACGCGGATACGTTAATGGAGAAGCCGTATGTGAAGGTGAACGAGCGGGCCATGCAGGCGGGAGGTTCGGAGGCTGAGGGTTGAGGGAGGGAGGAGGAAGGAGAGGAGCTGGGGGAGCTGCGAGGAAGAGGAAAAGGAGGAGGGGGGAAGGGAGGGGAGGAGGAGGGGTAGAGGAGGGGGAGACGGCGAGGGAAGAAGATGGCTCCAGGGGCGGGATCGTCTGATTGGCTGGTGGCTGCCACGTCAGCAGCGACCGAGAGGTCGGCGGCGAAGAAACGCTTCCTTGTGCTGCCACGTGTCAGCAGGGGAGTGGCTGGCGTGATGTAGGGGAAGGAGAACGAGTCTGCCGCCCAAAACGAAAGCGGATCCTCCGCTGCTGGGGTTGATGATGTGATGCGATGTGATGTGATGTGATGTGATGTGATGTGATGTGATGTGATGTGATGTGAAGTGATGGAGTGCAGAGGAGACAGACAGGGGAGCAGGGGATGAGGGGAAAGAAGGGGGTGAGTAGGGGGTGAAGGTTCGCACGAGGACATCACATCCCGAGTCATGGCCTGGGGTTGCCGTGGTAGGGTATAAGCGGAGGGGCGGAACGTGGGGTAGGGTTTCGGAGAAGTAAGCAAGGGCTGAGGGAGTAAGGAAAGGTTAAAAACAGGGGACATGGGAGTGGAAGCACATAGAAAGGACATGGGAGTGGAAGCACATGGAAAGGACACTACAAAGCACTGGAAAGTGTGGGCCTTCCCCCTCCCTTTTCTGCCCCGTAGTGCTGCAGGCGAGAACCCTCAGGCCAGATCTACAACAGAGCAGAGCACAGCACAGGAGTCGAGCTACTCACTCACAGGGCCTGTGACACAGGCGGTGTGATATAGTAATGCAAGGGTCATTCCCCACTGAAAAACGCTCAACACAGGGATCACGACACCTCAACGAGTTGACTTTTGAGTCGACTCAAAACAGGGATCACGACACCTCACCTCACCTCACCTTCCCCGACTTGGAAACTCCACCCCAGCACCTCGTGCGCCTGCTCCACCTGCTTGCCCGTAGCCGCTGTGAAGCCCACAAACAGCAGCAGGGGTGCGAGGGGGGAGGGGGGGGGAGATGCTGCTGCTGCTGCTTCCGAGTCATTCCCACCCACCTAGCCACTGATCTCACCTTCCCCGACTTGGAAACTCCACCCCAGCACCTCGTGCGCCTGCGCCTGCTCCAACCCCTTGCCAGTAGCCGCTGTGAAGCCCACAAACAGCGCCGGGGGCGGCGCTGCTGCTGCTGCTTCCGGGTCGTTCCCCCCGAGCCACTCGCAGCTGTCCAGGAACGTGGTGAGGACGGCAGAGCGGGGGAGAGGAGGGGAGAAGGGGGAGGAGGAGGAGGAGGAGGAGGAGGAGGAGGAGGAGGAGGAGGAGGAGGAGGAGGAGGAGGAGGAGGAGGAGGAGGAGGAGGAGGAGCAGCGAGGCAACAGAGGGAAACCAGGGAAGCGAGGGAAGCAAGGGGTGGGGCGAGGGGACGAGCGGGGAGCGGAGGAGGGTGGGGCTGGGGAGAGCCAAACGGAGAGCTGGGAGGAGGAGGCGTTGTATTGGATGGTGGCGAGGAGGGTCTGACCGGCGTTGAGGGAGGCAATGCCGACGGGGTGCACGGGGGCAGAGGCGAGAGAGAGCATGCTGCCGTGCAGGTTCACCCCCACGTGGTGCTCCTGCCGGTCCCAGAACTCCGGGGAGGCGCATGTGTCAAACTCCACTGCCAGACTCCTGTGCTGCTGTGGATAGAGGGGTGGAAGGCGGAGGGGGGGGGGGAGGGGCATGTTGAGAGATTCAGGTGTTTAACTGCGAGGCTCCTGTGCTGCTGTGGGCGGGGGGGGGGGGGGGGGGGGGGGGGGGAAGGGGGAGAAGCAGATATGCAGAGCAGCAGAGTAGGAGAACAAAAGAGCAAGCCAGCAAGGCTCTCTTTCTCGGCTGTTCTCTTACAGGATATTAAGACAAGCGGAGTAACAACCTGAGTTGATGCATTGCTGCCCACCTCCGTTTGTTGCCCACCTGAAAAACTGGGTTGCTGTTGCTGCCCACCTGAACTGACGTGTACCTGAGATGACACAGCTGCACCGCTGACACTGGAACCATCAGCAGCAGCAGCTGCAGCAGTCGTGCTCCCCGGAGGCAGCAGCAGGCGCCCGTAGCCCAGGGACGGCCCCGGCAGCCCGAGCGTGGGCGTCGGCAGCATCACAAACGCCAAGCCCTCGCCGCCCAGCCCCCCGGCGTTGGGGGAGGAGATGCGGAAGGTGAAGGAGGTGGAGAAGGAGAAGGGGCGGCAGGGGGAGGTGGGCGTGGCAGGGGCGAGCAGGGCGAAGGGGGCGGGGTGCAGCGCGAGGGATGCAGCATTCAGGTCGGAGAGCGTGGTGAGGGAGAGCGAGGAGCGGTTGCGGCGAGCTGAGCCGGCTGTGAGGAGCGGGTGGGCGCTGGAGAGAGGCCAGTGGGAGAACGACTTGAGAGGAGAGGGGTCGGCTGCAGGGCAGTGGGGGAGGGGATGGGAGTGGCGGGGGATGGGGGGATGTGAAGGGGGAGGAAGAGTGGGAGCAGAAGTGAGGGATGGATTGATCATGCACGGGAGTGGGCTGTGGGAAATTAGAACTTGGCTGTTGAGAATGTGTGTGCCGCGCATGCTTTCAGTGTGCCGCGCATGCTTTCAGTGTGCCGCGCATGATTTCAGCGTGCCGCCCATGCTTTCAGTGTGACGCCCATGCTTTCAGTGTGACGCGCATGCTTTCAGTGTGACGCGCATGCTTTCAGTGTAAAGCAATGCGCAGACATGTGCGCACTCGTTCCCAGCACTCGTCTAGGGACGACTGACGAGTTCGACTCTCCGCCGAAAAATCTCGGCCGAGTTGACCGGGCTTTACTCCGCGTGATAATTTTAACTCGTTGGAAACTCGCGGCTTTGCGCTAGCTTTTTTAGGGACTCCAGTTTTTTGGGGCTTGGCGAGTTTCGAAAAAAGTCGCGACATTTGTACGCAGGAGAGAGGGTGTGGACAAAAAAGTCAACATTGAAGTCAAGAATTAAATCCAAGATGCATCCGTCAAGCATGTAGTGTGCTAAATTGCTATTAGTAACAAGCATTCTAGCTCAGATACAGCCAATCGTCATTGGATAAATGTTGCGCGCGAAATCATAAGAGTCGTCTAGGAGATTTAGGAGGTAAACGAGAACTAGATCTAGTATTGACCTCACTTGCAATTTCCAAATTTGGTTGGGTTTTCTAGATACTGTGCGGTGGAGGTAGGTATTGAGGGGCGGCGATTTAATTGGGGACAACATTTTGTTACGCGAATTTGTGGGATGGGAAGCTACGAATTTCGATTTCAACGAGTTGGGTTGGGTGGGGTACGAATTCCAAACCCCCTCTCCACGTTCTACCAAACAAAGGCTGTTTCTACCCAGAAGATCCCATTTGGACTAGTGATGAATGAGGGTGCGTTTCTATCCCGTGTCGGACATTCGGTTTGACACGAAGTGGAGGTTCGGAAGACCCGAAGTGGCTCGTCTTTGGGGCGATTGGAAGTTCGGAAGAGACAAATTGGAGACTAAGGCCGCATGACTTGATGTCTGACACGGGATAGAAACACACCCTGAGTCCGTCCGACCCCGGGCCAGAAAAAAATCGGCCGAGCCCCAACCAGGACTAGCCGGGTTTTACCCGGCTCGTTTAGTTGCACGTTTAAAGTGCACGCTTTCATTGTGCCGCGCGCATGCTTCCTCCTGCAATACCTGCGACACACTCGTGACCCTGCCAACCGTTGCTACCTCTGTGACTCACAGCTGGTGGGCACAACAGACACGAGGTCGATATCAGTCACAACAGACACAGTGCTCCTCGCTTCCGCCGCCATGGCCACACGCTTTACCATCAGAACGTGCCTACCTCCCCTTCTCACTCACCCGGGACTGGGACTCAAAGTGGAGCCGTTAGGTGCCATGACTTTATGTAGAAGCAAGCATGATTTGTTCAGGTAAAATATTAAGAAAGGAGCTTGCTTGAACGGGCCTACCTTCCCATGTCACTCACCTGGGACTGGGACTCTATTCCTCATTGCAGCCCGCCCCCAAGCGCCTATCACTCACTGTTAGTGGGCATGACAGACACGAGGTCGATAGCAATACTACTCCCCGCTTCCGACGCCACGCCCACTCCCTTTACCACCTCAACGTGCCTACCCCCCTCTCACTCACCTGGGACTGGGACTCTATTTCCTCCTCGCAGCCCACCCCCCAGCGCATATCACTCACTGCTAGCGGGCATGACAGACACGAGGTCGACAGCAGTGCTCCCCGCTTCCGACGCCACGCCCGCTCCCTTCACCACCGCCACACCCGCTATCGCTGCTGCCTTTTGAGTCGATTCAAAAGCGTCGGTAGACGCCACGCCCACTCTCTCTACCATCGTCGCATTCAGAGTCGCCCCCGCTGCTGCCCCTGCTCCTGCTGCTGCTCTGCGCATGGAGAGCGGTAGTGTGGTGAACCGGAGCAACCGTTTCAGGGCGGATGCAGCGCGGGTAAGGTGAGGGTGTAGAGCGGATCGAATCTGGAGGCCCACGGAGGAGATGGTAAAGCCGCTGCTGCTGCTGCTGCTGCTGCTGTCAGCGCTGCTGTTTTCAACGCTGCTGCTGGTGCTGCTGCTGCTGCTGCGTGTGCTGGTGCTGGCGCCAACGCTACTGGTGTCACTGCTGCTACTGGCAACTACGCTGCTTGTGGCGATGGCAACACCGCTGGTGGTGGTGACGGTGGCAGTGCTGCTGCTGCTGTTGCTGCTGCTGTTACTGCCTTGCACGCCTCGAATCACCAAGTGCAGCGCCACTCCCCCAGGAGGCACTACGAACGAGGAAGGCGAAGAGGCGGAGGAAGAAGAGGTGGAGGAATTGGGGGGGTCGGGGAGGGGGAAGAGGAGGGGTCCCACTTGGAACCAGGGCAAGGCGCCGGACAGACTCGCGCTGCTCCCCCCACACGGCACGCCCACCCGCCACTCCCCCCACACCTGCTCCCCCGCTCCTCCCCCCTCTGCCCCTCTCCCTGCCGCAGCGGCAGCAGAAGCGTTCAGCGGAACTGCCAGCAGCAGCACCTTCAACAGACGCTCCGCCTCCCCTTCCGCGCCCCCTTCCCCCTCCGCGCACAGGCCGGCGCGCGCAAAGAACGAGAGGGACAGCTGGCGCGGGGACTGCTGCTGCTGCGACACGTTGCTCGTGGGCGCCGCGGGTTTGATTTCGCACAGCGCTTGCGACACGCCTGGGCCGCTGCTGCTACTATTGTTACCACTACCATTGCTACTACCGGAAGCGCCGTCGCTACTAGACGACACGGAAATATCAGATGTCAGACGTAAAAAACGGGACCCGTCAGCTGTCAGTAGGATGTCCGTGACTCCCGCTACCCCGTTCACTATTGACACGTCAGCAGGCGGCGCTACCCTGCTTGCTGTCGCAAAAGCTTCCGCCAGAGTTAAGCCCGCTGGGGCAAGCGACGTTCCGCGATTTCCGCTACCATATGCGGTGGTTAAGATCTCGTCGCTTAAGAATGCTTCCCCAGGCTCTAACGCGTGCCAAGGGAATAAGTACGGCCATGGTGGGCACGACGCGTTCAGCTTCTTGCGACGCCATCCTAGGTCTAGACAGCTTGTATCAAAGCTTGGGTTCGAGAGGAGGTTTGACGGTTCACCTGCGACGGCCAAAGAAGAGGGCGGAAGAGAATTGGAGATTTTTAGGGTTATTGAGCGGAATAGCAACGAAACCCTAAAAGACGCAGCTTTGCCGTTTTCTGGCACGATGGCCGTACATGCACGAAAAAACGGGAGGAGCGGAATGCACAGCGAGTGATCGGAAGGGCCGCGGGGGCTACACTGGGAGGAGGATGAAGGGGATAGAGTGGCTGGAGGGAAAGGGAATGAGTCAAGTGTGAACGTCTAAATACGCCTGAGAGAAGGACGAAAGCTGGGTTAGTAGGGTCCCAGCACTAGTGGTGCTTATGACTCGACTACTACTAATATAGCGACGAAACAGTAAATGGCGGCGGTACCAAGAACGGGAGAGGCGGAACCTCTTACTTGGATTCGTTAGGTTGTAGCAGTCGACGAGACCGTCAGCGACGCGAACGAAGGCTATGAGATAGAGGAGAATCGTAATCAGCAGGGGAATCGCGATACAGAGAACACTCGCGGCCCCTGGGCGAGCCCGCAATTTGCGGCGAGAGATGCAACAGTGATTCATCTGCCCTGACACGTCCTAAGAATAATTAATTTCTGAATAGGTTGCAAGCGTCGGACATTTCGGAGCAAGTTCCGGACTGACACTTGCCATTCCGAGCCGGCCTGTCGCGGCGAGCGCCTTGGGACTGCCCCGCAAAAAGCTATAGTGATCGCCACAGTTGGTACTCGAGGAAAACGTGCCTAATCGACATGCTCGCCCCTAGGTAGGAACACGTTTGATGAAAGGTGACTCATCTCAGTACAGTGTACAGTTGTACCGCACCTTCCCTCCCTCGTGTTGACTATTGCTGCATTACAGCGTCGGAGCCGCCCTTGTGCAGCTGTTCGATGTAAATGACGTCATGGACCTGGTGCCATTGTCTGACGTCGTGGGTCCAAAAAGGTCGCACTTGCAACACTTCCCAACTAGAGCGTTAATTTTCTAGATACACCCTATTCGCGATAATTAAACACCAAGTAGCGGGTCAATGCGCCCATAACCCCCCAGGACAACGTGCCTGTAACCCTTCCCTAGGATCAATCGGGGATCACCAGTGGACCTCTGACACCTCTCACGGCCCCGTTGACCGCCCTTTCGGCCCCTCGCGCCGCCCTCTACGGCCCCTAGCGCCGCCTTTACGGCCCCTTAAGGCCCCTCGCGTCGCCCTTACGGCCCTCGCGCGGCCCCTTTCGGCCCCTCGCGCCGCCCTTTCAGGCCCCTTACGGCCCCGTCTAGGCCCCTTACGGCCCCTCCGCGGCCCCGTCTAGGCCCCTTGCGACCCCGCTACGGCCCCGTCTAGGCCCCTTACGGCCCCTCCGCGGCCCCATCTAGGCCCCTTGCGGCCCCGCTACGGCCCCGTCTAGGCCCCTCCGCGGCCCCGTCTAGGCCCCTTGCGGCCCCGTCGCCGCCACCAGCGGCCCCGTCGCCGCCACCTGCGGCCCCGTCGCCGCCACTTGCGGCCCCGTCGCCGCCACTTGCGGCCTCACCGCCACCTACGGCCCCGTCGCCGTCACCTGCGGCCCCGTCGCCCTCCCCTAGCGGCCCTGTCACCGCTCAGCCGCCCAGCGACAGAGCCGCCGAGCAGCCCAGCAGCTGAGCCGCCCTACCGCCGAGCCGCCCAGCAGTCGAGCCGCCCTGCAGCCGAGCCGCCCAGCAGCCGAGCCGCGCAGCAGCCGAGCCGCCCTGCAGCCGAGCCGCCCAGCAGCCGAGCCGCCCTGCCACCGAGCCGCCCAGCAGCCGACCCGCCCTGCCGCCGAGCCGCCCAGCAGCCGAGCCGCCGAGCCGCCCCACTGTCGAGCCGCTGTTGTTCCTACCGGTGCTCCCCGGCCCTCCTTCCTCGGACTGGTGAGCTCACTTCCTTCTAGGCCACTGCAGTCATGGCTACCCCCAGTGTTCTTACTTTTGATGCTGAGGGCCGTGCCGTTGACTTTGAGGTCTGGGTCGATGACCTCCAGCTGTTCCTCCACTGCGATAGGGCAGACGGTCTCTCCCTCTTTGACCTCACCTCTGGTGCCTCTCCTGCCCCTGCTGCTGATGCTGACGCCACTGTTCGCTCACAGTGGGCCACACGCGATGCTGCTGCTCGCCTTGCTGTGCGTCGCAACTTACCGACCACTAAGCGTGCACACTTTAGCCAGTACAAGAGTGCTCAGACCTTGTACGACGCTGTAGTTGCACGCTACTCTTCCGCTGCCACTGCTGCACTGAGCCGCCTCATGCTACTGTACCTGTTCCCTGACCTTGCTGCCTTTCCCACAGTCGCTGACCTCATTACGCACCTCCGCACTAGTGACACTTGCTACCGCGCTGCGCTTCCTGCTGAGTTCTGCGCCAAGACCCCCCCCCCCCATGTACATCACCCTCTACTACATAGTCACCCGGCTCCCTGACTCTCTTCGCGTAGTCAGGGACCACTTCCTGTCAGTTTGCCCCACCACTCTCACCGTTGACCTCCTCGAGAAGGCCCTCATAGCAGCAAAGAAGAGCATAGTCGCTGTAGGAGCCTCTCGTGGTGACCCTCGCACCCCCGTCTTTGAGGGGTGTTCCCCCTCCCCCCTCTTGCCCTCAGTTGCTTCTACTGCTGCGGCCGACCTTGTTGGTTTTGAGTCGGTCGGCGCTGTGTCTGCCCCTAGCGGGAGACGCCGCACCGGCAAGGGCAAGGGGGGCAAGGGCGCTGGAGGGGTTGGCGGGGGCGGTGGAGGTGGTGGTGGAGGCAGTGGAGGGGGTGGGGGTGGTGGTGGGAGTGGTGGCGGGGGTGGAGGTGTCAGTGGCAGCAGTGGTGGCGGAGGAGGCGGTGGTGGTGGCGGAGGTAGCGGAGGCGGCGGAGGTGGTGGAGGCAGCGGAGGTGGCGGAGGTGGCGGAGGCGGCGGAGGCAGCGGAGGCGGCGGCGGCAGCAGTGGACCTGGTCGCGGCTCTTCGCAGAGGAGTGGCTCCGGTGGTGGTACGCGCCAGCAGCAGCAGCACAGTCGTGAGACCCTGTCCCCTCAGCAGCTTCGTGAGTGGTACGCTGCACGTCAGCGCGGTGGGGGTACGGGTCCCTGCACCTACGTTCTCCGCATCGGCGACCGCGCTGGTGAGCATTGCGGGGGTGCGCACTCCACTCAGCGCTGCTTTGGCCGCCTGACATACGCTTGGCGTCACCAGTTCCCTGAGGCCACTGAGATCCCTCGCTGGGACGAGCTGTCTAGGGCGAGAGTAGCTATCTTTGACCTTGACTTTGATGCTATTGTTGCTGCCATGTATGCTGTGACTATTAGTGATGAGGGTGACTGTTACCGGTGTTTTCCGCCCGACCCGGGCATTGGGACTGCTGCTCTAGGTACTGGTGAGGCTGCTGCTCTAGGTGCCAGTGAGGCTGCTGCTCTAGGTGCTAGTGCGTCTGCTTCCTCAGGTGCTGGTGAGTCTGCTCTCTCAGGTACTGCGTCGGCTTCGGCCTCCCACACCTTCACCCTGGACTCGGGGGCTTCTCGCTCCTTCTTTCGAGACCGCACCACACTCACGCCGCTTGGTCGGCCAGTTGGAGTCTCTCTGGCAGACCCCTCTGGAGGTCCTGTCCTTGCTCACTTCTCCACTGTCCTCCCGTGTCCGGCGGCCCCCTCTGGCACCCTGTCTGGTCTTTACCTCCCCTTGTTCTCTACGAACTTGGTGAGTGGTGCTAACCTACAGGATGCGGGGGTTCACCAGTTCACTCCTGCGAGCCAGCGGG